GGCGTAGGCATGTGGGAACAACCGCCATCAGCCATGTCCAGGCTGGAAGAGGCTAACTTCCAAATGCTACGCGATCACCAACGCGCCCTGGTGTGGGTAGACGCCTGCAGGCACAATAAAGCCTTCTCCAAATCGTGGGCGTTCGGCTGCAACAGTTCGAAAATACAGGCCCTGGAGGCCCGTTGCAATCACTCATACAAGCACCGAAGCATTGCAGGCGTGAAAGAACAAGGGGTATACCTCAGCACTCTGACCGCTGAATACCCGCCTTCCCTGGCCCTGCAACTTGCCCAGGTAGACATAGGAAGGGTCAGCAAAACAGGTTCCTTCCGACAAACACTGCCATTGCACTCCGAAATCTCCAGGACCATCACGCTGGCGCCAAGCAGGCTCCCGACCTGCGACGGAGCAGGAATGCACTCTTCCGCAGACTGGTGCTGTCCCAAGCCAGAACACCCACTGCGAGCAGTCGCCAGGCCCTGGCTGCATTGGATGCATGAGCGCAAATTGGTGCCGCGAATCCTGGCGCACATCAAGAGCAGCTCTCCGGACTGCCCCCTCTCGCCGTCCGAACTGGAAGTGGCAAATTTAGCTTACACGGCTCTAAAAATGCCCTGCCCTCCAGACATGAGCCCCGAGGCACTGCTGCAGGCCTTGGCCAACTCTTGGGGTGACCCAGACATGGCCCTGCTGCCATTTCTGCAACACGGGGGTGCCGACGGGAGCCGTGTCAGCCTTGCCACCCAGCCTTCAATGGCCGGCAAAGAAGCCAGACTCCGCCCTGCCGCCGGATCTGGAAATCTGTGAGGGCAACTAGAAGATGGCCGAGGACGAACCAGAAACCGTGCAAAGCTTGCTGCGCAATGAAATTGCCAACAACTGGATTGTAGAAACCGGCCTTAGCATCGCCGAGGCTCGGGAAAAATGGCCGTTAGGCATTGCCGTAGGCAAATTAAATGTCGTTTTTGCAGAAGGGAAAGAGCCGCGCCTTGTCCTGGACAGCACCGTGTGCCAAGTGAATACCAGATGCCATCTACCAGAGCGCCTGAGCCTGCCAATGGCATCGGACCTGGCGCTGTCCACGCAGCCGGAGGACACTCCAGGCGCCTTCGTGGGCGCCAGCATTGACTTCAAAGCCGCGCACAAACAGGTGCAGGTCCGCCTGGCCTTCTACTATTCGCCTTTCAAGGAAAACTCTATCACTAAAGAGTGTGCCATTTTGGGGGGCCGTTTCTCGGCATTCTGGTGGCAGCGCGCTGGCGCTTTTTTGCTTCGCCAGGTGCATGGGTTGTTGGCTTGGAAGCCGCACAAAGCCTTCCTTTTCGTGGACGACCTTCTGTGTGCACTCTTCCGAGATAGCGCGCCAGATATGTTTGCCTTGGTGCTTTTCTTTTGCGCCATTGCGGCGCCAATTTCATGGAAAAAGGCGCAATTCCAGGACAGCCTTGTTTGGTGCGGCTGGGAGATCAACTTCTCCCACGACACCACTCAGCTCGTGTCCGCTAAGCTGACCAAGCTGGACGCCTTGATCAAAGCACTGCTGGGGAGCCGACGGGTACTCCGCAAAACACTCGAGCAGTGCATGGGCCTGCTCATTTGGGCCACCCAGGGCATCCATCGGACACAGCTGAATGCCTCGGCCTGACATTGCTAGGCCCGCAGGGCTGAAGCGTATGCGACTTTCAGGGCGATGGCTGAATCGGGCCAACCGACCTCTGCTGAGATCGTCTGCCCAATCATTGCACCTTCCTGGAACGTGCGTCGTGAGCGTGAGCCCAGAAGGCTGTTAACTGCACGAAAAGTTGCAACGGCCAGGAGGTCGTGAACAACTTGTTAAGGCTTGCTTCCGTTGCGGAATTGTCCGCGCCTGAAGGCATGCTGAACGAGTAGTGCCCACCACCAATGTGGCTGTGGGTTGCTTGCAGTAGTGCTAACTGCGCCAGCGTCTCGAAACATGCGATGTACCGCTGTCCAGGCTTGACAAGGCAAGGCCATACGGACCGTATGTCCCGCATGTTCCAGGTTTCGGCAAACCAAACCACTTGGGAGGATGTGATTGCCCAGCTACCAAGTCGTCTTCGGCACACGCATCCGCGGCAGCCAGTGCTTGCAGCTGGTGTGGCCGCGCCAAGGGCTGAACGGGCGAGTGCTGAAAGCACAACGCCAGCCATGTAAGGCATTGCTGGCTTGACTTGGAAAGGCTAGTGTGTGGGTTATTGGGGTCCGCGATGCGCACCCGCGTGGGTTTGCTAGTGCCGGGCACCCGCGGGATGTCCTGAGGGCAGTGCATGGTGCGACCTGAAATCTCCAAGATTTTGGAGCCCGCTGTGATCCACAAGCCGGGAAGGCTATGGCTGGTTTTGAGATCCTTGTTCAAGGATGCTCTGAAGGCTGACCACATTTGAGGCGGCATCGAGTGCATCGAGCCTGGTGGGCTGTTGAGGTCCGAGTATAGTGGCGCTAGCCAGGATCTCAGATGCAGTGCAATGCTGCGCCCGGAACACCTGGCAGCTGCCTCCAGCACTGCTTAGCCAAGCCTTATTTGCATCCCAACATGCATTGCGACCAAATGGCCGTCTTCGCCCTGGCAAACAACTGGCTGCGTCAGCCAGCCGCTTACATCAAGCCGCTCTGACCGAAAAAAGTGCAGACCCTCAAGCGTGCATTGTCACGCGGACATTTGCCCTGCCAGGTACAACCCCACTCTGAAGGGGGGGTGATGAGGCCGGCGGCCCAGCTGGCTCGCTTATACCGGGGTTGCCTGAAACACTGAAGGGGGGGTCAACGCACCTCCTCTTCCAGGCGCACCAGTGCCCTGGAAGCAGTGCTACTTTCAGCAATCCCGGTAAAAAGAACTGCGGCTGCTTCGGACTTGCTTTGTTCTTTTGGGTGTTCATGTTTGGGTTCAAGCTAGGAGCAGTGCAACATGCCTTAACGCTTAGGGTTTCTTTTCCCTTGTGTTTAGGGCATGTTGTGAATCGAACTACGCGGTGGCCGTTTTGCTCCTAGCCTTGACCCAAACCTGCGGTTTCATTTGAAACCCACCCACCCACCCTGCAGGTCAACGCACCTCCTGTTCCAGGCGCACCAGTGCCCTGGAAGCAGTGCTACTTTCAGCAATCCCGGTAAAAAGAACCGCGGCCGCTTCGGACTTGCTTTGTTCTTTTGGGTGTTCATGTTTGGGTTCAAGCTAGGAGCAGTGCAACATGCCTTAACAGCGCTGCCCCTTCCCTTGGCAGTGCTGGCAGCGTGGGAGTCACTTGTTTTTGCTCTGTGCCATGCTGCTCTGTGCGCACTGCAGTCTCAGGTTTGGAGACATCCAACGCATCCGGCCTTCAGCCCTGTCCCTGTCCGCGCGCTCCCTCCAGGGACCAATCAAGGCCAGCCCTTCGCCTAAGTCGCTGGCAAAGTTGTGTCTCGAGTAGCAACAAATTGGAGAACAGGATTGCAGCTTTAAGTGTCCTCATTGTTAGTTAGGTGGTTGAAGTGTTGTTTGTGCTACAAGTGGTGTTCTTTGTTTGTTCCGTCGCGTCGCCTATAGATTCAACAAAAAAACGCAAAACTGCTGATTCTTTTCAATGCCAATCTCTGCCCAAGCCATGGATCCATTTGCGCTTCATACACCGGTTTTCATTCAGTTCTCCACTGATGCTGCACTCTAGTGGTCCAACTGCCTTGATTGTCGCCAAGGGGGTTTGAGGAAGTGGGGGATTACAAAAGTGGGCAAGGCTTCAGGTGTGAAGTCCAAATAAGCGTGGCATTCCAGAAATCTGAAACAATAGCGCAACCTGTAGTTGGAATATAGCCCTGAAAAGCCCCAGCACGAAGTGAATTTGTGTCCAGGGGTGTGTGGGGATTGTGGCCACAATTTGTTTTGTCCTTGCCTTCGAGTGCAGAAACGTCTGAAAGTAGTGCGCCTTATAAGAATGCAGCTTCGATTGGCGGTTGACTGTTGTGATGCGTAGTGTTGTTGGCTTTGTTGGGTGCTGCCAATGCTGGTGGTGGACGGTGATGCAGGCAATGCTGGTGATGCTGGCGATGCAGGTGATGCAGGTGATTCTGGTGATGCAAATTGTGCTTTTGCAATGATGGTGCTCCTGCCGGTGATGCTGCTAAGTTGATGCGGGTGATGCAGGTGATGCTGGTGATGCTGCAGATGTTGTTGTTGAAGCTGATGCTGGTGATGTTGCTTCTGCTGCTGCTGCTGCTGCTGCTGCTCTGCTGCTGCTCTGCTTTTGGTGCTTCATCCATTTGTCAGTTTGGTTTGGTTTGGTTGGTTTGGTTTGGTTTGGTTTTTCCTTGCTTGCTTGCTTGCTTGCTTGTTTGTTTGTTTGTTTGTTTGTTTGTTTGTTTGTTTGTTTGTCTGGGTGTTTGTTTGTTTGTTTGTTTGTTTGTTTGTTTGTTTGTTTGTTTTTTGTTTGCTTCTTTGCTTCGGAAGACATATGCAGAATTGATAAAACAATATTTAGTCTTTTTCACAGCAAAAAAGAATCAGCAGCAAGAATTCAGGCTGGGCCCCTATCTTCCAAAACATGCCAGTTTCTGTTAGCAAGCTAGGTGACGCGCTTTGGAATACCTGATAGTGTGCCGGTGCAAGATGTGCGTTTTCATATTGTTAACATCCTCATTGAAAAACACTTGTCTGAAGATTTAATCAGTCTTGAATCAGGCCTGGGGCAGGTGGTTTGGTTTTGTGCAGTTCTGCCGCTTGGCACAAGGGTGACGTTTCGTTGGTGCTATTGAACCCCATGTGCATGACCTTTTTGCAAGGTGCGTACCACCGTTTGGGTACAGGCTTCCTGGGTTGATTGCACTGAGAATCGGCTTTCTCGGCTTTCGCTTGTTCAAGCTGCCCAAATTGGTGCACTTGTCGGACACATCCATGCGTCCTTGTTTTTTGCTTAGCCGCTTTTCTTGATGTTGCTTGGGATCGAATACGTTTCAGCCGGAGGAACAATACATATCGCACACAGGCAACTTTTGCTCATGCATTGTTGACATTTACGTCATTTTCTTCAACAACACGTTGGGATTGCCATGGCGACAAATGAAGAAGACAAGCCTGTCTGTCGTGCTTGTGGCGCACTGAGCCCGTGAGCATCTAGCTGTTCCTCACGTGTCAGGTCCGGCGGCAACGAAGGAACTGCGACAGAGGAGAAAAGTTCCAGCAGAGCATGCGCTGAGGCAAGGATGCTTGCAGGCTTGACACCATGTGCAGCATGTGTTGAGACCACTTTGGATGCGCTCGCCGTGGTGGGCCGTGGCGTGATGGCCACTGGATCAGCGACTCGAGCTACAGATTTGTTTTTGGTGTTGTGGGTTGAGTGGCATGACAGAGCCGACGCCTAAGGGAATTCTCACCGTCATGCAGTACACAGCTTACCCAATCAAAGAGGACTTTGTGCGTGAGTGTGCACATGTACAAGAAAGCTGCAAGTTGCCAGTAGTTTCACAGGCGCCAAATCAAAACTTCAATACTAGCAGCCACAGTTGAAATGCAAAAAAATCGGCGTTTGTTTTGCTAGTTGCTTGCGGCAGTATTGCTTCAGATCTTGAACTGCGGAGGGTGTGCTTTGCGTGATGGATACCACGGGTGAATACTTTTCACCATATTTGAAGAAGCCGTGCACTCAGCTCGGTAATGCATGTGGTATGTTTGGATACCCATTCAGGCAAGCGGCAACTAATGTGCCCACATTCCGATACGGATGAGAGGCATTCCGTTATGCGGCTTGGATATGGCTATTTGTTGAGCTGCCTCGAGAGTGCGGCTCAATGTGCTGTCACTGCTTGTTGGCTGTAGATCGGTGCAACTGAATCTCCAACGCAGCCGTTTTCAAGATCCAGCCCAAGTTGCCTCCTTTGAATCACATACAGTAAGAGCTTGTGGCTTTGCTCATTCTCTGGGTCTCCTTGATCCATGAGAGCTTACTCGCACGACGAGGTTGCAATGGGATGCAGTGCACAAGCTGTGACCCCATACCAAAAGAATCAGAATCACAGCGAAGCTGTGAGGAAAATGAAGTCAACCTGCACAGCTCCTGTGAAAAAAAGGCAGCTGGAGGCAACGTACGCCCCTTCGTGCTTTCCATTGTTTGCTCTGCCCTCAGAACAAGCTGTGCTCAGAATGCGCCATTGTGGCTCAGATGTAGCAGGACATTTTAGAGCTCAGGGCAGGAAATGGTCCACCAAATCAATAGACTGATTTCCGGTTCAAGTTTTCTTGCACATTCCGTGGCTAAGTACTGGTTGCGCGCGGCTTTCAAATGGCACAACAGGCCAGGAGTCCACAGCGTTTGAAGCGGCCTGTTGGAGAGCTTGTTGGAGTCGCTGCTGTCTATTTCATCTACAAGCACCAGGTTCATTATATAAATCATGGAATCGCTTGCCAGTGTTTTTCCTCTAAACCATATTAATCATATTTTTTTTAGTTCATATTTTTCCCCATCCTCAGCCCTCCCAAGCTACAGACGGTGGCAAGACAATACTTCAATACTGATGCTTCTCATGTGAAACACATTTGCATGGCTGGAGTACGAAAAGCGTCAAACTCTGAGTCCAAGCCAGCAAGCATCACACTTCGCAGAAAAAAGCAGCCTTTCGAAAGGCTTTGCGCTGGCCATTGAACCACTCAACTTTGCAGCAACCCTTCGAGGTGCGGCGTTCTGAGCGCCTGCGGCAGGTGCCAAGGCTGCGTCAAAGGAACAAGAATAGCATACTTGGATTCTGAGTCTCACTTGTGTTGCAGGTGTTGTGCTGTTTTTCGCAAGTTGATGTTTCTTGCCTTTGGGAAACGATCTCCGGAATCCTGGCTCCGAGGGCTTGCACGAATTCGAATCGCGTGACATGAGACTTTGAGAGTCTGTGCGCACAAACTTTGAATGAGTGACATGAGTAGACTTTGAATGCTTCGCACGAACATGCCACTCACTTACATGTCGACGTCCCATGGCCTGGCCTCCTGTGGGCCTTGAGCAAGGCCTTGAGGGTTAAAGTCTCCCTCTCTGAAAGCGTCCAAACTCAGGCCTTGAGTGTGTTACTGGGCCGTGTGTTAGGCGGTTGCGTTCTCAATTTGCTCAATCTCGGCTTGCTTCGCACGAGGTGCCCATCTCTCCAGGCCCTGGAAGATACTGGAAGTAGCGTGGCTTGAGAAAGCAGCTTTTGCTTCATTCTTGCCTCAAGGCATGATGTTCAGCAGCTGCTGTTTCTGCGAAAGAGGGGTCAAGGCCCAGGCCACCGAAGCATTTGCATTGTGAATGTTTGGCATGGAATGCCTCCGGGCGTTGAACATGTGGTATGGGTTTTCGCAGGCAAATGGAACCAAGATCGTGCCGGCGCCCAAGCCCCGGCGTGTCTCCGTCAAGGCGCCTTGGCAAAGGCTCCGCCCTTTCTTGTTAGCGGCCGTATGAGCTCGTCTCTGCTAGTTTCTGTTTCTACGTGCAGTTTTTTTGGAGGCGCCCATGGTTTTGTCGGGTGTGCGTGTGCGGAATCCAAGGAGAAAGCAGAACACGTGAGTGTCAAAGAAGAGCGAGATGGTGGTCTCTCGCCCATATCACCCACTGCAACGCCGTGCTCTGCAAACCAGGCAACAAAGGTAGCTTGGCATCAGGTAGAATGAGTGTGGCAATTGGCTGGGGGGAGCACAAAGACAGACCTGTCTTTGTGCCATGGGTCACCCAGGAATGCACAGAAGAGATGCCTCAAAGTCATGCAGAACATGGAGTCTGGAACTCGACAGATCGCCGTGCAAGGCGCAGACTCCGCCTTTGAGCTTCCCACTCCAGGTCGCAGGCACAAAGCTTGCACCTTCGGACGTGCAGCCTGCACATCCTGTGCAGCCTGTGCAGCCTGTGCAGCCTGTGCCTGAAGCTGTGCCTGAAGTGCCAGTGCAGGCCAGACTGATTGTTTGGACCTGGTGTGGATTGGGGACGAAACAAGCATGCATTAGAGTTGGCCGTTTGCAGGTACAGGACGAGCCAGCGAAGCGAACAAGACGGCGCAGCCATTTTGTTCCAAATGGCCAAGCTGCCTCTGAGGCAAGCTGGTCATCACTCAGCAAGCAAGACCTTGACATATTTGGCTTGACAGGAAGCCCCCCTGGTGGGGCTGGGAAAGCTGCCAGCCGTAGTTGACGACCCAGGTGGCGTTTTTCAAGGCGGGAGCCAGCTGTCCAGCAACTTGATTGTATGCAGACCTTCAGACGGGAACTTGGGAACTTCTGTCGGGTTGCCTTCCACAGTTGGATTTCAGACTCGGTCTGTTTCTCAGTGCAGGCGGCAGCAATGCAGCTTGCTTGCTGGGCCTCACAAAGGCAAGGGGACGACGCAGCGGCTGTGACGGGTTTTTTTTAGGCATCGTTGCCATCTTAGCTATCAAATCAGCATACCACACCCAGACACCAGCAACCTTAGCAAGAATATCAACGACATGGTCACCAGAAAGTCAGGTGAGACTGAAGGTGAGGGTTTGCCTCGCTCCAGGTGAATGGGTCCAGTGCAGTCGTCGAGTCAGAATTCAAGGACCGTTGTTGCGCATGCTACTAGTATCGTGCATCTAGACGATTTGCATATTGAAGATACATTCGGCTTTGTAGAGTGGCATGTGGGGCACACTGCTTCTACTCGCCTGGCTTGCCCAAGGACAAGTTTGTAGAATATTTTGGATGTGAAAGCGAGCCGGCTGCGAGGCTGGGGCAGTGGGCGGAGAAAACCAGTGGCGTAAATTTGCATGGCAGGTCTCGATTTCTCAAAGCTGGAGTTGCAGTGAGCTGTGCAAAGGCCTGTCTTGCCATCGTATGACCTTTGTATTGGCGCTTGATGTGTCCTGAGAGTAAAATACCTGAAGAAGAGGTGCGCTACATGGTCACGTGTTGCTGTTTAACCTTGGGGAATTTCAGTGATCGCAGTGCAAAAACCCAGGACTTCGCTATTTTTTGACTTCCGGGCATGCATATCAGCACTTTCAGCTAAGTTACATCACCAAACGAAGGCATGGATATATTCCAGAAGCCTTTCCTTCAGGGCACTTCCCGCCTTTGTCTGACATCGATGTATTGCGTTCCTATGAGGGCGCAGGGGTCAGTTTTTCTGCCCGTGTTAACTTCCTTGTAAAACTCAATGCAGTTGTGGCTCACATGCCAAGAAGACACCCGCTTGGTCTCCCTTCCTGCCGGAGTGCGCATTTCCCTCGACGTTTCCATGAAGCGCCTGGGACTGTCAAGAAGGAGCCCAGGAATCTGTGTGTTGCGTCTGCCAGATCGAGTTCAGCCTGGGCAGACCAATAAGCTTCCAACGTGTAAAGGTTAACCTCCCACAGCGGCTGCAGGAAAGCTAAGCCATCAGGCACGGGAGCATGGCACATCCTCAAAAGAAGCACAGCACACACACACACTAGGGCTAAGTTCACTACCGGAAGCCGAACCACATCTGCGAAGGGCATGGGATGGCGCGTCTGTGTGTGTGTGTGTGTGCGGAGTGGCAGAATACCCGGCCACCACAGTTTATCTTGCAGGGGGCCAGCGGCCATCAAGCAAACGCTGGCCAACGAAGCTATGCTTGATGGTGGATGCACGGATTGATCACCCGTGTGTACCTGCTTTTGTGAAGTGATGTTGATGAAAGTCCAGTTGGCCGCTTCTTTTGCCGCTGTGTGTGCTTCGTGTTGAACCTTGTAACGTTTTCGACACTAGAGGGAAGCCGAGTGCATCGCGAGCCGAAACTCATCGTACTCGAGGCTTATCAGTTGTACTCGAGACTCATCAGTTGTACTCGAGACTCATCAGTTGTACTCGAAAGATGAGAACCCTCCGTTTGGAGTTTAAGTGTGACTACCCCAGTCTTGGGGGACCCTCGGGTGTACCCATCGTGTGACCCCGGGCCGGTTCGCCGGAAAATTTGACCTCAACGTCCTTATCATAGTCCAGCGAAAATTTCACGTTTAAGTAGGAACGAGGTTTCACTAAAGGGAAGACAGCCACCAGACCATAGTGACGTCTCACGGATGCATGAGTGATCCTTGAGTTGATTTGCTTTGTGCTTGGCATGATCTTGCGTTGTCATGGAATTGAAATTGGTCGGTCTCAGTCTTTCTCAAGGTTGAATTTTGGCCATTGCCTGGGCTCACTGAGTCGTCATGTCTCGACGGGATGATCGTGACAGATCCAGAACTCGGCGCAGACGGGATCGGAGCCCATCTACCCAGCCTTGCAAAGCGCGCAGACGTGATCAGGATGACGCCTTGGTCTCGGACGGCATGGATTGGAACAACCTGATGTCCTGGCAACACAATCAGAGTTACAACGCTCCCAATGCCTTTCCAATGACACAGAGCAGCTACCAGCCGAATCCCTCGTCATCGCAGCTCTATCAGCACCCTCCGGTCAACTACATGATGCCGTTTCCTCCGGAACCCACACCGGCGAAAATCGTGAAACCTATGATGCCACCACCTGCCCACCCACCGGTTCATTCTTCCCAAACTACCACATCGCCAGGATACCCAGCTACGCTTCCAGTGCAGCCTCAGAAAGCGTGGCTTACCCCATCAGAAGATTGAAAACCTGGTGACGGCATGTTCGACGTCAATCAGCTATACTCTTTCACCTTGCCCATGACGGTTGCCAGCACCCCGCACAACAACTCACGTGATATGTCAGGCATGGGCCTCCGGGATGTTCGCTTGGTTCGGGTCATCCACGGGGGCATCTCTAACTGGCTACTGCGACCATTTGGGAAGGATTCCGCACCCGCACCGAGGCCTTGCTCTGGAGCACTTGTTCGAAGCTACTGCGTCGATCGCAGCCGCTCAACCTGCTTACCCTGGAAAAGGACCTTGCTAATTCGCTCGGACTCAACATCGAAGACTTCAATCAGCGCATCAGGGTTCATGATCACTTGGCCAACCTGGTGCTTCAGTCTCTTCATCAACATCATTTGACTCTTACACCCTCTGCTCAAGAGGCCGACATGCTCAAGAAGTACAACGATCTCCATCGTGCTCGCGAGTTGCTCCAGGCACAGTTCTCGGCGTCGCAGCGAACTTCGCCTTCTTCTACGCTGCCCTCTCCGAAAGATGATGCAGAATTGGTCACACCGCTGCCAACTAATCATTCGCAGTCTTCGACGCCAACCAGCTCGCTGCCCACGGTAAGTGCGGCTGGCCTTGATGGCAGGTCGTTTGATGGTCCATCCCAACAGCAGCCTCGGATCATACAATCTCTTCACGGATTGTCGTCTCCGCCGTCCAAGCCATCTTCACCTCAGTTGCTCACCATGCACAGCACGCCGGAGGACATCATCAAGCACTACACCTGGACCAGTGATCAACCACGTTTGTACCTCAAGCAGGCTCCCACTACTACTACTGTGGCATCGCTGGTCAAGTGGGCCAATCACTCGTCCCGTCTCAACGGCAACAAGTCCTTGGAGCCTATGGCGGCCCAGCTCTTGCAGGCTCGTCAATGTTTGCCAAAAGGTGATGCACCTACTTTTGCGGCCATGGCCTCTTTGTGGGGATTGGAACCCGGCTACACGACCAAACTCTCGGACAAAGCGCTGTGCCTCCTTGTCGTGGCGGCCCGACTAATCACCGGGTGAGATGTTTCTGCTTTTCGAGTATTAGCCCGGAGTGGCGATTGTGCAGCGAAGTGATGAGCGGTTGAAGACTTGCATGCGCTTGACTTGGCCTTGGCT